ACTGATAAACCCACTGCTACTTTTCAGTTTGCTTGCTTTCTTGTTTGTGTGTTTGTTTGTGTTGTGTTGTGTTTGTCTGTCTTTCTGTCTGTCTGTCTGTTTGTTTGTTTGCTCGTTTGCTTGTTTGGTTGGTTGGTTGGTTGGTCAGTTGGTTGGTTGTTCGTTTTATTTGTTTTATTTATTTAAGTTACTTGTTTATTCATTCATTTACTTATTTCTTTATTTATGTATTTTATTTTTACTTATTGTTGCATTTATGTGTTCGTTTGTTTGTGTGTTTGTTTGTTTGTTTGTTTGTTTGTATGTTTGTTTGTTTGTTTGTTTGTTTGTTTGTTTGTGTTTGATTGTTTTTTGTTTGTTTTTGTTTGTTTTTGTTTGCTTGTTTGGTTTGGTTTGGTTGTTTGTTTGTTTGTTTGCTTGTTTGTTTGTTTGTTTGGTTGTTTGATTTTTGTTTGTTTTTTGTTTGCTTGTTTGGTTTGGTTTGGTTGTTTGTTTGTTTCTTTGTTTGATTGTTTGTTTGTTTGTTTGTTTGTTTGTTTGTGTGTGTGTTTGCTTGCTTGCTTGCTTGCTTGCTTGCTTTGTTTGTTTGTTTGTTTGTTTGTTTGTTTGTTTGTTGTTTGCTTGTTTTGTTGCTTGGTTGTTTGTGTGTTTGTTTGTTTGTTTGTTTGTTTGTTTGTTTGTTTGTTTGTTTGTTTGTTTGTTTGGTTGTTTGATTTTTGTTTGTTTTTTGTTTGCTTGTTTGGTTTGGTTTGGTTGTTTGTTTGTTTGTTTGTTTGCTTGCTTGCTTGTTTGGTTGCTTGTTTGTTCGTGTGTTTGTTTGTTTGCTTGTTTGTTTGTGTGTTTGTTTGTTTGTTTGTTTGTTTGTTTGTTTGTTTGTTTGTTTGCTTGCTTGCTTGCTTGTTTGTTTTGTTTGATTGTTTGTTTGTTTGTGTGTTCGTGTGTTTGTGCGTGTGTGTGTGTGTGAGTGTGAGTGTGAGTGTGTGTGTGTGTTTGTGTTTGTGTTTATGTTTGTTTGCTTGCTTTTGTCTGTTTGTTTGTTTGTTTGTTGGTTGGTTTGTTGGTTGGTTGGTTGGATTGCTTGCTTGCCTGCTTGCTTGCTTTTGTGTGTGTTTGTTTTGTTTGATTGCTTGCTGGCGTGGTCAGTTTCTTGCTCCTTTGTTTCTTTGCTTCTTCCGTTTGTTTTGCTCGCTCGCTCGGTTGCTAGCTAGCAGCTAGCTATTTCTTTTTCTTCTTGCTCTTTTTTTGGGTTTGTGTTTGTTTGTTGATTTTGTTTTTTCTTGATTCCGTGTATTGTTTTGTTGGCTTGCCTGTTGCTTGTTTCGTTTTGTTTTGCGGCTGTGCTGGCGCTGGTGTCAGCGGTGGTTGTGGCGGTCGTCATTGTTGCTCTTGTTGGTTAGCTGCAACGCGCTAAGACATGTGGTCGTTGCGCAAGCTTCTTGCTAAGCTTAGCCGGTCGAAGTCATTTTGTTGATTGCTATGGGGTTGGGTCTTTAGACTTTAACTTTTTGGGAAATCAAGTGGATGTCCATTACGCCCACCAACAGCCAAGCTTTTTGCAGAGGAATCAACAGCAACCAAGTTGAGCGAGTGACGTTTCTGGGGGAATACTTGTTGGACCCCAGGATGCGTTGCACCGAGGCGAACTTCCGTAGTGCCTGTGGGCGCACCGGAAGTTCCGATGAGCCGGGAACTTGGCACGAGGATTCGAGCGTCAGGTTCCTGGGCACGAGGACGCGCTGTTTGGAGACTTGGAGTTTCTGGACGAAGCAAAAACAGTTGGGGGGTGCTGGCTTATAGAGTGTTACACTTTTGGGAGGTCCGATATGGTCCGATAGTTCCCCAAGATGGACAGCGCTGAGGCTGACGCGGCCACCGATTTGGGAGTGATTGTGTTTTGTGGAGCCCCTTTTCGGTTGAGTTAAAGGGAAACCAAAACCATTTTGAGGGTCCCTCTGTTTCAACTATGCACAGCTCTTTACAGCCACCAAGCCGCAATGGGTGGCTTCAGCGTTCTGGAGAAAGGGATGCGATCGGAGCCGGTTAGTCATGTGCTGTTCTTACAGCATTTCCACCCTTAATAGTGCCGCAATCGCAATTCACGTTCCTTTTGTGCTGATCAGCTCCTTGGTAATTCGCTCACGATCTGAGGCGATGACGCAGGCAGAGAAATGCTGTTGCTCAATCCCAGATGGGAGGGTGAGGCTGGGCATCTGTTCGAGAGCTTCGGTCTTTGGGGCTGTCCCTGTGACCACTTTAATTATCATACAACGGCGTCTGTTGGGTCCAGGTCTTGTCTGACTCAAGCCGAAGTACCTGGGTATGTCAGACACTTTGACCTCACGCTGAAAGGTTAAGGGACCCTCTGGGAAGAGTTCGCCTGTTTGCTTAAAGGGGCCCCGGTTTCTAAGGAACTTTGACCCCCAAAATGGCCCCCCATACCTCCTGAGGTCCCTTGGGTTCTTCGGATTTCAAACTGCCAGGTATTTCACGCGGGCCTGCGGTACGTAGATCCACCCCACGAGCTGACCATCGATCGATACCTCGAGGACTTCCTTTGGGGAGCCGTTGAAAGTCCAACAAGCGGGTGCCTTTCCACGGCAAGTGGGCCAGTTTCGATTTTGGGGACTCATCCAGTCAGGAAGTCGAGTCGCTAATCTCTTCCCCGAACAATCAACACGCCAAACAATATTTAACTTCCATGGTTTTGAGCCAGGGGATGTTACTGCAATCCCCCTTTAAGGAACTTTAGTTTGGAGGTGCTTTGCCTACTAATGGTTTACTGAGTGTTTAGTATGGTCTAGTGCTGCTTGCAAAATGACCCCTATGTTGGTTTTGCATTGGCTCTTTCCAATTTAGTATTGGGAGATTTGGGTCAGGGAAACATATTAAGTTGATGAGGGAAGGTATTCGTGCCATGAAAAGCTCTGAGGCGTTGGAGTCATTGTCTTACCAGCCGCTACTTATCAAAAGAACAAATGTGTGTGTGTGTGTGCCTTGATCTCGCTGCCTCGCTGTGAAGGGGTACTGCAAAGTGGAAACCGAATGGCACCTGACCTCTCCGCCGGCTGGCAGGACGGGTATATGGTGGAGCACGTCCGCTATCCAAGTGGGCCTGATCTGTTTCAAAGTTGTGAGCATCTCGGTTGGCAGCATGGGTCTGGGTGAATTAAATGGTGGTTTATGTGAGGAATAGCCATTAATCACCTTATTTCAGGTTGGTGAAATATGATAATTCACCCAGATGTGTTTGTGGTTTGTTTGGAATGCACGTGATGTACCCCTTTAAAGGGTTGCTTGAAGACTTGAAGACAAAACAAGAGGAACACTGAGAAGTGGTCACACAAGCAATGGAAGATGGAGGTATGGAATTCCGCAGAGCCATGTTTTTTTTGGTTTTCGCCACAAGAGCGGCATATAGCAGCCACCATGCGTGTGAATTTACACCTTGACATTCGCGCTTGCCTCCTATATAATAGTAGAGCCCCGAAGATGGGTGGGCTCCCTTTCAAGTTCCTTCCACCCCCACACAAGACGCAACCTCAAACAAGGACTCTCATGGGTTTTCACAGACACAAACTACTGACCAAATCTTCCCCAGAATTAGCTTCCCTTTTTCATTTTTGCTTTTTTGGGGTGCCCTTTGTTTTCTACTACCCAGACAAAAAATCTAGTGTTTTGCTGGGGTCCTAATTCCAGCCAAGAAATTGCCACTGCAGGTGGGGCACAAAAAAGGGGCCGAAACGCAGGTTGTCCAATTTCCGCCAGGCCGCGGAATCGAGATGCGCCGCATCTTTCGCAAGCAGTGATCCCTCTTGCACTCGGCACCAGAGGGTTTTTGGGAAAGCGTTTGGGGTCCCCTTAAGGGAAACCCCCAAAGATCCCAGCAAGTGCCCGTCCTTCCGCGGATTTCGCAGATTTTAAGTCCGATTCCGATGCCGGGCTATGCGACAAGAGATCCGGTGCTGAAGGTTTGGTTCACCCTGTATCGAGCACGTAGGATGAGTGCGCTTGACCATCTAATTGAGTCGCAAGCAAACCCTGGCACTAAAGAGCCTACCCAAGTGGTTGGACATGTTCTGCTTGAGGCCGTGTGCGGCATGGGATTCTTCAATGCGTTTAAAGCAATTTCCAGAGGGTCTTGGGAGTACCTTTGGGAGGTAGTTCCAGTCCTGGAGTTTTCGACGGCTCCCGATTGGCAAGCCAGCCTTTGTTCGGGTCGACATACTTCTGGAATCACAGGAGTGGCAAAAAGTCAAGCAGCTGGGGTTACGCACGTTGTAGTCTTTGTTTCCTATAAACCAAAGTGCCACTTTGAGAACCATTTTTTGAACCACAGCCATTGGATAAAAGATTCATACGAAGTGATGTCGTGGGCAGGCGTTGCCACAGTTTACAGCTGCCAATGCGTTTCCAATTCGAGATGGGTCGCTCAGAGCTTGAAGCGAGCAGTCGTTTTGAAATTGAAGGTATTGCTTAGCATGATAGGTGACTTTAGGGTCAATTTAGTTGACAAAAATACATGGCGCCTAGGGACGTGCCGCTGGCCAGCAATTCACCTGGCTCGGCCGTCCGCTTTGAGGCAACCCATCTCGACAGGTGCCTTTTTCTGGGCCGACGGGTATCAAGCCCATCTCAATTTTCCTGCTCCTGCAATGGCTGCTTCAAGAATCTGGTGAGCGCATTCTTGAAACGCCGAGCAGGCCTTTTAATGGCGCGTGCGTGCATCCAGCGCTGCGTTCGTTCCATTTAGGAATTGGCTCCTTTCTTTGATTTTTATCCGAACCTAGAGAGAGGGGTCGTTTGTCAGAAGGGATCCTGAGATTTGTCCAAAGTCAACATTCAAAACAGGGTACATGACACAAGCTGTTTGCAATGAGCCAGATTTGAATAAAGCAGGTTGGAGGTCAAGTGCTTCCAACTTGATGCGGAGTTGCAATTGTCTGATGACATGCCTTCACTGCATAGCATTGCGAAGTCCAGCAACATATTGTAGAATAAAACATATATTCTAAAAATTGGGTGAGCAATTTGTTTGTATAAACCGTTTCAGCCCTCCCAACGTTCGCCAAGTCTGCTGCTCCTGGAATCTTGCTTGCACTCTCCAGCTCCCACGTACTCGCAGGCCCACTTTTGATTTTGACTGGGTTGTGAGTCAACGAAATGTTTATGTGGCCAATGTCCTGTTCGGGCCCGTCGGGCCCGTCAGGCCCGTCGGGCCCCGTCGAGCCCTTGAGCCTGTCAGGGCCGACAAGAGAGGTTGTCATGTCAACCCGCCACACCCTACCCCCGCCCATCCCCCCGAACGCAACACAACGGAGAGACCAAATGTGTCAGTGGCTTTGGACCTGACACCAGGCTGCTGTTGGCTGACAACACACGCCAAGCACGGCAAGGCCCACTCAAGCCTAGGAGAAATTGTCTCAGTCTGTGGAATCTCACCAGCACGGCCCTGTCCACACCCGCGAACGCTCCCACCCCAGAAGCCAAATCCCACTAGCTGACAAAACCCGGCGTTCATACCCCACCAGCACGGCCGATTGCCAAGACTCGGAGTCCAAATATTACAAGCCGCCCGTCCGCGCCCGATGGAAGCATGCTAAGCAGACTAAACGAGAACCCATCACATCGCGCTCTAAGAGGCGCTTTGAACGGGAGCTTTGGTTATGCTAACGATACGGGCAAACAGGTTGAGACCTACTAGAAGCCACGGACCCGAGTGCAGATGACCTGCCCAAAGCTACCGTTGCGTACGTGTATTCCGGCCTACCCGTTCGCTTGCCCCGGTGGCTTTTTACGTTTGTCTTTTTATTTAGCCGCTTGCCTATATATGGTCCCGTGTTCCGTGTTGCTACCCCCCCCCCCCCCCCATATGGTATGGTCCCCCAGGACCCCCCCCCCCGGCCCGAGACCCCGAGCCCCCGGATCCTGGCACCTACGGTCCCACCCCCACCCCGACCCCTGAACTCGCACCCCGACACCCCGACACCCCCACCCCCACCCCCAGGACAAGCCAACCCGCAACCAACCATAAACCAACCCTAAACTAACCCTAAACCAACCCTAAATACACCCTAAACCAAACCCTAAACCGTAGACCTCTAAACCTAAACCAACCCTAAATCAACATAAACCAACCCTAAACTAACCCTAAACCAACCCTAAACTAACCCCAAATACACCCTAAACCAATCCCTAAACAAGAAACCCTAAACCTAAACTAACCCTAAATGAACCCTAAACCAACCCTAAATACACCCTAAACCAAACCCTAAACCGACCATACACCTCTGAACCTAAATCAACCCTAAATCAACATAAATCAACCTAAATCAACCCTGAACCAACCCTAAACTAACCCTAAATACACCCTAAATATACCTTAAACCAATTCTAAACCAACCCTAAACCACCACAACCCAACCATAGGACCACAACCATGGGGGGGGGAGGGGGGTACTTGCCTAACCCATACCATTGGGGGGGGATCCATATATCCATATTATACATCTTTCTTTGCACTTATTTATCTAATTGGTTATTTGTTTATTTGTGTTTATTTGTGTATTTATATATGTGTTTATTTAATAAATGTATTATTAGTGTTTGATTTAATTTATATAATTGAATTTGTTATTGATTTATTTGTTTTTTTAGGCTTGATCGATTTATGATATTTTATTGAATGATGTAATATGAATGATATATAAATAGATTTAGATTTGATAGAAATTACAGATTTTTTTGTATAAATGATTTGTTATAAATAATTTGATTGAATTATATATATATATATTTATTTATTTATATGGTTTATATATATGTTTTATTTATTATTTTTTGTAATAAATGAGATTTAGATTTTAAATTGGGTTTATATAATTTTAAGATATAGAATATGTTGTTTATGCATTATACGAATAAGGAAATTCGTTTTTTTTTTGATATTTAAATCAAAATTCTCGGCATTTTTTATATATGTAATTTAAATCTTATTTTTGGAATATATTTTATTATTAATATATTTAAACAATTTAATTAAAAAATTAGCATAAATTATGCATTATAGTTATATTATTAATCGATATATAAAAAATAAAATAAAATACTAAATTAAATATATAATTTAATTTACTTGTATTTTCGGCTCGTAATGAATATTTTGAGCCATACATTGATTCTATAAATTATTATGAGTATGTTTATATTTAGTATATTGCCATATTGTTGTTAATGATTCTTGTGTTATTCTTAAAATACGAAATTGGAAAGGAGATGTAGCCGTTATATTTAGGGGGCTAACCACGGAAAAACAACACTAAGAAGATTGAAGGATTTTGCGGGATTCTTATTACTAGAACATCCGTAGGTTTTATCCGGGGATTAGTTGGTAATAGATTCAAGACTCCAACGAGGGTCGTGCGCTAACCTGCAAGGCTAAAGTAAACACAGCGTTCTTTAAAATGGTGTGCGTGGCCTGTTTGCATCTATGTCCCATACAATGGAAACCATGGTGATCGAAAATATCCAAATTTTGGTGGCGAAAAAACACGCCTTACCCTGTTCAAAACATGGAACTCCCAGCCGCATAGAAACAATATCTATTTATTAATTCCGAAAAGCCTAAAACATATTAAATTTAAAAAACATATTTAAATATCATAAATATAAATACAAAATAATTATTTATTATAGATAAAATTTAATGGATTTTTATAAATTAACCATATGAATATGTGTTTAATAATTCTTTTAAATAATATAATATATATTTATATATAATTTTAATATATTTGATTTGGGAGTTTTCATTCCTTAATTTCTTATATAATGATTTTTTTGTAGGCTTTCTCTATATATATGTGTGTTGTTATTTTTCTTAAGGTATTAATTTTGTATATATAAATTTAGGTTTAACATCTTCTAATTCATCTTAAAGGACATAATGGATAATTAGGTTATTAGTTAAAAATTAAAAAAAAATATAATATTAATAATTATATCTATGGTAAACAATAATAATATATTGTTAGAAATAAAATTATTAATATATTATTCTATTTATATATAATATTTATTATTAAAATAAATATTTATATATAAATTTATAGTATTTATATATTGTTTATGATTTATATATTATTTGAATATGATAATTTTAATTATATTTAAATATGATTTATTTAATTTATTAATATAATCATATTATGATTGAAATGAATATATATATATATATATCAAATATAACAAGCACATAAGAAAACACAATGAAACAAAAAACAACGCAAACAAATACAGAGAAACCAAAAAAAAAAAGATAGACAAAGGGAGAAAAACAAAGAGAAAGAAAGAGAGGAACAAAATAGATAAGGAGAGAAATAAAATAAGAAAGATAAAGACATATATATAAGAAGAAAGGAACAAAAAGAAAGAAATAAAAAGAGAAACATAAGAAGAGAAAGATATAAGGGTAAAAACAAAATACGGAGGAGAGGGGAGGGGAAAACAAAAAGAACGATAAAGGAGGAGAAATGGGTGGGGGAGGAGGAGGATATAAGGGTGGGGAAATAGGCGGCCGGGGAAAAAGACAAAGATAAAAATCAGGAGAAAAATAGGAAAAAAGAGATAATTATACTAACAAATACAAATAAAAAGAGAGACAAAGAAAGAAAGATATAGATAAAGAGCAAAACAGGGAGAAAAACAAGAAGAAAGATAGGGAAAGAGATAAAAAGAAAAACAAAGAGAAGGGCGAGGAGAGAAACAAAGAGAAAAAGAGAGTAGTAGAGAGAAATAAAAAGAAAGAAAGAGAAATAATAGAAAAAATAAAACAACGAATAAAAAAAAATGAACGAAATAATATATACAAAAGAAAAAAAAAACAAAAAACAAAGAGAAGATAGAAAAAGAAAAAACAAGAAAGAAAGAAAAAACGAGGAAAAAAAAAAAAAGAGGGAAAAGGGAAAGAGAGGCAAACCAATAAAAACAACATGAAATTTCGATCCGGATAAATCCTTATCTTCTTCGGAAATTTAACCCGGTATTTTTTCAGAAATCCATCAAATTCTAAATAATTCTTTCAGGGTAATATTTGGAATTATAAAAGCCGGATTGCCGAAAACGACCCGAAATTTAGTAATATTTAGCGAGGACAAGCCATAACAATTCCAAACGAAAATCCATAACCTTTCTTTAAATTTCGGCCAAATTGCACGGACTCTCGAGTCGCTAAAAAACAAGAGCTTATACCAACGAAGAAAAATCCGAAACGAACAAAACCACTCCACAAGCAAAACGATTTTAGTCAAAATACCCAATATATATATAAAATCAATTATCAATTATATAATATATATATAATAATAACCATATTGCAATCATTCTTTTTTTTACATATATAGAAATTATATCAATTATCTATAATTCTCTATCTCCCGATTATTTATTTTTAATCTTCCTGTTTCTCTAATCGTCCGGCCATCTATCTTTTTGTCTATCTGTTTCTTTATTTCTCTCCATTTTTAATTTATCTTTTAATTCTATTTTTTTTGCAATATATATATTTTCATTTAATTATTTTTTTTAAAAATCTATATTTAAATATATTTATATGTATAAAATCCATAATATCTATATTAATCGAATCTTAACATAAATGTATCTCTATATAATTCCCTAAATTATCTAAACATATAAAATATTACCATAATGTTTAGCTTTAATCACCTATTTTAAAATTAGATATTAATTATAATTTTAGTTTTTGTTTTATAAATCAAACCAATCGTATAAAAACAAAAAATCAACGAAAATTATGTAATTTTAATACAAATATAAATTATAAAAAATCAGATTTACTTAATATATCCATTTTCTAAAATATGTTTTTTTATCCGTTTTTCCAACAATATCGGCGTTCCAAAATCAATAGCTCTTCGTTACTCTACATACTTTATAATTTCTATAATTGTTCTATATTCGTTCCCCAAATTTTCTGCAAAATTTAGTAATATAATATATATTTCTATATCGTTATATATCGTATTTTTTTCCGTTTAAAAGCCGTTTTCTTCATGTCGATTTATAACGAATTCTTTCTAATATATATATATATATCAAAGAAAAGAAAAAAAACAAAAAGAAATTAAATAATAGATTACGAAAGGGAAAAAAAAAGAGAAAAAAAAAGGAAAAACAACATCAAGTAAATATAAAACACAAAAACAAAAAAAACACAAAGATACACAAAAATAAAAAAACAAAGAAACAAAAAATAAAAGAGAGAGAGAAAAAAAAAAAAGAGTAAGACAGAGAGAAAGAGAGAAAAAGAGAGAAAGAACGAGATAAACAGAGAGGCCAAATGACAAAAACACACAAAGACAAAGACACACAGAGACAGAGACACACAAAAACAGAGAAACAGAGACAGAGAGAAAGAGAGGTTACATGTTGCATGTAATATGATGATGAATAATATCATTAGTGTTTGACATGTGTTTGACTCATTGAACAATTGAATTTATATAGATGTGTTTTAATTTTGGTATGTATTGAGCTATTGATTCATATTGTGATTTTTATTTCACGGTGTTGCTATCCAGCTGCTCCCAAGCCTGAGGGCACAGATCCAGTATAACAATCCATCGATGGCATTCAATGTATTGCTTGTCAGTTTGCTATGAACCGCCGTTCACCTCGTTCAGTGCGTTTTGTAGACTCAGATTACCTTCAGGCTTCATCACTTGTCAAATGAACGATGCATCCTAATCCCGACCTGGACACTTCACGTCCGACTGATCTGACCAGTTTGATCAGCATGTGAGCCATGTTCGGTCATGGTTTGCTTCATAGGAATCATTTATGTTGGTCATTCAGGATCCTCGCTACCAGGTGGATGACCCCGAGTCAACAGGTCTTTTAACCATGTTCACATGAGGGACTTGCAGTGGCGGTTTGGGTCTCACAGAATCTCAGACGCTGGACAGATGCGCAAGAAGTCCTCGTAGGGAGATTTAACTTTGTGCGCAAAGGAGCATGACACGACATGTCTACAAACACACTATGCATATGCTTTAGCTCGTGGCGAAAAGCGATCTTTGAGGCACGAGGACTCCTCAAAAAAGGTGCCACCCAGATGCTCGACGGGGTGTGCAATGCACACCCCGGCCCTGCGCATTGCACACCCCGTGACTTGCATACGAAATCTGGGGTGTCAGGGGTCCTCGCTGATTTTTTGGGGGGTGTCGCTAGCACGCCCCGGAGACTCAAGGCTTCTGCTTTGCGCACTGCAACCTGCAATGACGATAAATCCTTGCACGCAGCACGGCCGAATCTGCAATTTTGCTGGTGCTCCCATGCACTAACTGCTGAAGACCCGCCTGCGTCATTGACATAGCATTGGAGGGCTTCATCAAAAAGCTGGGTCAGTTTTTGATGGTTCGCGTTTCCAAATGCACTGGAGTATGCATTTCATTCTTCTCACTTTCCCGCAGCCGCGATTTTTGGTGCAAGGCAATTGCTAGACAAAGACAACGCAAACCAGCCCAATGGCTGCTCGGCGCTGTCAAGCGCAAACCACCCAAGCTCGTTCAAAACGCCACATGGCAAGGACACTATAAGCGCATTCTGGTCGGCCAAACTGGCCGCCTCGCAGCTTGCAACAGCTTTGCTGGCATTTGGATGCAACCACTGCACCTACCGCGTGAACAAAAGGGCGCCAGTTGCAGATGGCTCTTTGCGAGAACTGTGACGGGCCAGGCTCAGACACTCAGGGGCTCGCTTTCCAGCTCAGGGCTGGGGAAACGGAAGAGAGGCCTCAAGCAAGGAAGCAGCCATGAGAATTTGCGTGCTCACAAACATTTCGAAACATGAGCCGGCAAGCGCTTCTGCTTCTTTCTCGCAGCAGGCATCACGATGGCTTCGAAAAGGTTCCGAGCAAGGCGCTTGCGCTTGGGAAGAGTCCAAGCGAGACCTCAAGAGTAAAGCCGGCGTTAGGCGCCAATGACAGTTGCAGCCATGGAATGGAATTCCCCGCCTTTGCGGGCAATGTCGTTGCCGAATTCGTCCATACTTGCTTGAGTAATTATGACGTATGGTTGCTTTGACAACTGGAGAGAGCTTCTGCAAAGCAGGTGTGAACATGAATAAACTCTTGTGGGTTTCGAAGGGTTTCCAAACAAGAGAATAAATACTTTGGGGAACAAAAACCACACCGTGCAGGATTTGTACCACAGCAAAAACGGCAGGCACGATGCATTTACGGGCTCTGGAGGCTGTCGGCACACGGTGAATGATCTTGCGGCTGATGCTGGCAAGTCCCATGGTTGACATTGGCAGCTCTAAAGACGAATAATGCTTTTCTGGCTTACCCTAAGTGGAGCCCTTGGACCTGCAACTTGAGGCTACGCAGCTTTCTGCAAAGCAGTGACAGGTTCGCGAAATCAAGCTGGCGCAGCCACTTTGAGCCATTTCTTGTTTGCAACCCGAGCACCGGATTCCAATTCCGTCGGATTGAGCGTGAAAGGGGGTGTCGAAACTCTGAGATTTGACGCCCCGAGCGTCGGATTCCGTCGGTTTCCGTCGGTTTCCGTCGGTTTCCGTCGCATTGAACGTCAAGGGGTGTCGAAACTAAGAGATTTGACGCCCCGAGCGTCGGATTCCGTCGGATTCCGTCAGTTTCCGTCGGATTGAACGTCAAGGGGGTGTCGAAACTAAGAGATTTGACGCCCCGAGCGTCGGATTCTGTCGGATTGGGCGTCGGATTCCTTTAACCAATATTGGGACATCGATTGCTTCAGGTCTGTTTTGGTTTTGGAGCCTGGGTTCTTCTCACCTTCAATATGCCGGACCCCCTCGATGTTTACAGGCGCTCTTCCAACGGAAATTGCAACTTACAGGTTGGGCCATCACGCATGTTGATAGATATGGGCACACTGGGAAACCCTTTGAAACAAAGGGCAGTACAGTGAACACATCGTGCGTGGGCTGCATTTGCTCAAGCTGACAATTTACACTGCAATCGGTTCAGCTTTTTTTTCTTTCTTTTTTTTTTTTTTCGGGAGTAAAGGCCGGAAAGGGCGCCGATTTCGCCATGCCACAATAAATTTCGTTTGCACACCTCTTGCCAGTTGTAAAAAAGGCAACCATATGTCACAGAGACAAAGCATGTGGGACGTCGAATTCAGCGGACTTGAAAGGGCGACGCGTACCTATCTGTCATTGACGGCTGCAACTGCATTTCCTGATCGAAACGCACTCGAGATTCAAGCGGGCGCCTAACGTCGGCTTTACTCTTGAGGTCTCGCTTGGACTCTTCCCAAGCGTAAGCGCCTTGCTCGGAACCTTTTCGAAACCATCGTGATGCCTGCTGCGAGAAAGAAGCAGAAGCGCTTGACGGCTCATGTTTCGAAATGTTTGTGAGCACGCAAATTCTCATGTCAGCTTCCTTGCTTGAGGCCTCTCTTCCGTTTCCCCAGCCCTGAGCTGGAAAGCGAGCCCCTGAGTGTCTGAGCCTGGCCCGTCACAGTTCTCGCAAAGAGCCATCTGCAACTGGCGCCCTTTTGTTCACGCAGTAGGGCGGTAGGTTGACGTAATGCGTTTTTCGAGAAAGGCGCAGAGGTTGCACGCAGAAGCTAGCAAGGCGTTAGCAAGCTGCGAGGCGGCCGGTTTGGCCGACCAAGATGCAGTCATCTCTGTCACCAGTGTCATGACCCTGCGTCGTGTTGCGCGTGCTTGGGTGGCTTGCGCTTGACAACGGCGTTTAGCTCTTGGGCTGGTTGGCTTTGCCTTTGTTTAGCAATTTCCTTGCACCAAAAATTGTGGCTGCGGGAAAGTGAGAAGAATGAAATGCATACTCCAGTGTATTTGGAAACGCGAACCATCAAAAACTGACCCAGCTTTTTGATGAAGCCCGCAAATGCTATGTAAAGGACGCAGGAGTGTCTTCAGCAGTTAAAGCATGGAAGTACCAGCTCAATTGCAGATTCTATGCCCGGGCCGTGCTGCGTGCCATCGTGCGCGGCAGGGCTTGGCAAAAGCAACATGCTGGGAGGCTACCCTCGGCATCCTGGTGATGCCGAACAACATTAACAATGACCCCTGATGCAATGTGCAGGTGTGTAATGGGGTGCGGCCGGGATGTGTTTTGCACACACCCTCCTGCCACTGAGAAAAGTAAGCATGGCAAAGTGGAATCTCAGTGTGGCGCCCCGAATAATTCATTTGACTCCCCGCGACGCCCCGCGACACCCCGACGCCCCAAAATCGAATCGTGAGCGTCTGGGGTTGAATCAGCTCCACCAAGCTTCTTGGTCCTAACACGCAGATCTCCCGGTTGAGTGCCGCACGCTGGCCGCTCCCCGCAAAGGGCTGAAAGGAGGGGCCTGACATTTTTTCGCCGAGCCATGCGGCTCGGCATAGACGAGGGCCCGAGGAGTAGCGGAGATGTAAAGAAAGGACACGGAAAGCACTTGCAGCATTTTCGGAAACGATCAACGAAACAGACATTTTACCAAGAAAGGACGAAACACGAAACAGAAACACGTAATTTATTGCAGGCTTTGCGCAAGAATTATCAGCTTTCAGCTTTTTTAGGGACATGCGTCACGGATGGCAAAGTTTGGGGACCCAGAGAACCACCCCAATCATTTCCGGAACCCAAGGTTGTTTTTTGGAGGGGGTCTCCAGGGTTGACAGTTGCAAAGTTGGAGGTGTCAAACCAAGCCCCTTTTCATAGTGGCAAAACAAACGTTCTATATCTTTCAATGTGTAAAAAGTGGAGAGGTGAGCTAAGTGAGTGCAAAAGCCCAACAATACAGGTCTGAGTTTCATGACTCCGGGAACCACAGCCGAAGACCTCCCGGAATTGGTGAGGTCGTTGGCCTCATTTGCCTGAAGGTCAAAGCTTTCGACGGGGTCAATGGGGGAGGGAAGGTCAAGCCGCATTCGGAGCCGCCTCGTCAAGTTCAAATGCAAGGCGAAAGAAACTCGGACAAACATTACAGTAGAACCCAGTTCTACCATCCTGAAAATAAGACGTCTAAAATTGGTTTACCACCCATCGTGGTTTTCTTTGGGGCAATAACTCATGCATAACCTGTGGTTGAGAAAGAAAAGGCGTCCCCGAAATGTGTAAAATCCCCAAACCAAGGCCCTTCATTCCCCAAACACACATCCCACGGGCAAGCCCCCTTTCTTGGGTGTACACATTCCCTCCCCCCTTGCTTGCTGTTGAAATCTGCAAACAGTTCCACAAAATGTGGGTCCAATGAAAAGTCTGGCTTGTTTCCCAAAAAGCTAGTCCAAAGATCCAACCAAAGATCCAACCAAAGACCCAACCAAATCGCCATAAAGCCCCCCTCCATAGGCTTGTTTGGGGACAACATGCGTACATGAGGCCCCTCGCCAGTACGCGCCGCCCGCGGAGCCGCCCGCTCCGCCTGAGCAGGTGCAACACCCGATCCCTTAGAGTCCCAGAGCTTCTGGGAGCTCATGTCCAATTTGATCCAGATAAACACTCCACTTGGGCTTTCTGAGTTCACAGGGATTCATCCTGGCCCTCGCTGCCGCATTTTTCACGGCGGAATTCTCCGCAAAGACTCCGGGCCTGGGGGTTCTAAAGGGTTCCTTCTGATCCGCAGGACCCCAAGATCTGGGCCAGCCTTGGCACCAGAGAGGCGAAGAAATGCTCGCTTGCAGAGACGGAGAACCGGGCATCAGTCAGGTTGTCAAGTACAAGACTGTAAAAGTTTGAGACAAGGGTCGCCCTAGCCCAGGGTGAGGTCCAAACATCTCCCATATCAGCTTTGCCCAGCTCTCTCATGGATATGCGTGCTACTTTCTTAGCACAAACCCACGGCTTTGTACACTGCTCAGGTTGCCTGGGAGGGAACATGTCGCGACAAAGTGACAGCTTGAGTTGTGATCTCCCGAGAGGAAGTGAAGGCTAGTCTCAAGATTCTCCACTGTACATCAAGCTGGTCACCGTGAACACACAGGAACGTTACATTTCAAAATGACTTGCTTCATAGGCCAACCCACGATGCTTGCACCAACAGAAGGCTTCGTTGGGGTCACATGTGGAAAAACCACCAGGGCGGGTCTCGGGGAGGGAGGCCGGCCTGGGCTGAGCCAACCCAGGCATCAATGAGAGCCACTAGGTCACAGTTGGTTGGCCGTTTTTTGCCGCGTGGTTTGCTGAAAAGTACTGGCTGGCCTAGAAACCAACCATCGTGGGGATGGCCCAAATATGTGACAAGCAATCCAGAAACTCTTCTCTAAACACTGAGCTATTCATTCAAGCGGGCAGCACACAAAGACCTTCGCTTTCCGAGTGGATTGGCCAAAAAAAGTCCAGATTTGTTTGTTGCCACTACAGTGATCTTCCCCAAAAGTTACTGAAGTCCAGAAACTCGGGGAGAAAGATGTTTCTCCTCCTCCTCATGTAGCAAGGTATTCTTACGTTGGCTGCTCCCGCCAGGGACTTTCTCACCTTCCGGCCTGCAGCAACGGCTCCCCGCTGCCTCGCAGTGTGCCAGTGGTGCGCAGTGTGCCCTATCTCTGATTGGTTTTGACAGAAACAAAAGGGATGTGATCGGTCAGATTGTACAAAAGCCACACATGTAAGACACTCAGACAAATGAAACTCTCTGACAAGAAGCTATGTCAGGGATACCTGTAGAAGTTCCTGTTTGGAGCATCTCACTGTCCACTTCAGCAAAGTGGTCCCGACCAGGGTTCCAGTTTTTGACTACCCCAGGATGGACTTAAACCCAGGGGTTCTCCTTTTGGAGGACATTATTAAGTCTACCTTGGAATAGTCCAAAAGTGGAGCCCTGGTCCCGACTGCATTTGCCTATGCGCAACACCGATTCTGTCTGACCAGAGCAGCGGCTCATTTCCGATACGCCATGAGGGCTCGGGGCTGCGCTACAGATCCTGATAGACAATTGTTCCCTAGCAATTTTCTTCGCAGCAGGTTCTCCTGGGATTCGGAGCAACCCTGTCAGTCAGCACTGGACACAAGCCCTGGAAGGAAGAATTGAGAAGAGCGGATCACGTCTCTGATCCATGCCCTCCTTCCCCCTCAATACTTCATCAACACTGCGCAGTGTTGGCTCTAGGGAACATTTCTTCATGAAAGAGCAACCAGAAGAAGCCTGACAGCAAGACATTTGCTATCATGTGCTTCCCAAAGGATGGACAGACCAGCAACTGGTTGGGTGTCTTCCGCTTCCCACTTCAACATCTCCCAAGCGGGCCCATGTGCAAATTAGGGCATCCCGACTGAAACGGCTTCCATTTGGTAATATGCCCCGTGGTCAAACTTCTGGGTCCCCATGGTTCCCTGAATATCATCTTTAGGCTTTTTTGCAAATCCCTCCGACCCATCCCCAAGTAAAGGAATCGGCTTTTGGACCATGGCACATTGTGACATAGAGGGACGCTTTCGTAAGGCTCCTTCCCGGCCTGTGCCCGTCATCTGGTTGCGCCAGTCAGGAAGCGCCTCTTGTGAGTGCCCGGAACCTCTTGATGCTTGGGTCTATGTCAATGTAGCTCGGTGGCTATGAAGGTTTCTGTAGCCCTCCGCCCTCCCGACAATACCTACAAACCAGGGAGCAGAACCTGCTCGTTTGGGTGGGTAAACTCAGCTGCCTTGGGCTCCAAGCAGCTCCCAACGGATACTCGGGCATGTGTCATGGATCCATTTCCCTTGAGTTCACGGCGAATGCCAAGCCTTCGTACCTCCAATTGCCAGTTCCCACCCCCCAGCCCAAACACCAGCTCAAATTGGAGGGTGGCAGACTGAAACGCCTTCAACTGGCCGCCCCTGCTTGAGTCCTTTTCTTTCTGCGTCGCTTGCGCGGAGGTCGGCCCCTCAGGCAATTGCGGATGCACATGCTCAATCAACTGGGTGCGTCTCGACATGGCAAGAACGGTTTGGGGTGGCGGTTCAGAGTGAATCAACACAAAGAAACAAGGAACTGATCTTGTTTGGGGTCCCTTTGGTGAGGAACAACCCAAATATGTAGACTATGAGCCACTGCTTTAGTTGCATTTTTGATTCTGCAGAATCATGTAGACTATGTGCCACCGCTTCAGTTGCAATTTTGACTCTGGAAGTGGAGCATGTCACCAACTCTTTCTCATAGTTGGCCATGGGCCTAATGTGACATGCTGCGCAGTTTTGCTGGGCAGGATGCACATCGCAAATCATCCCAAGCCAACATTCAAACCATCCAAGACACACAAAGAGACGACAGCCTCAACCGATCCTAGTAGCAGCTGCTGGCTGTTCAAAGCACACCAACCATGCAATTAACTATTTGAGGGTTAGGGTTTTGAGACAAGCCTAACCAATCTACAGGCAAAACGTCAGTGTTCTTCAAATCAAACGGATTCATGCGTTGCAATTCCCAAGGCCACCGCAAGCCAAACAACCGTCGGCGAGCGGAGGTATTGGGTGATCTGCAGATTACTTGCCTGAGGCCAACATTCTCGTTACAACTATCTCCTAATTTTGGGCGCTAAAAAAGTTCAAAGGGATCACAAAAGGCTCCAAGACAAGACATGCAGCTAGTCGTTTTTGTTTTCTTTCTTTTACGAACCTGTGGGGAATATTTTTGCTTAATCGGCAAAGGGAGAAGCTGTCAGGAACCCTGTAGAACCCTGCAACGGTTGGTACTCTTCTGGCTTGCCTTAAAAAGAAGTACGCATGGCTGTCTCTTCTTTCTTATTTTTGGAGGGAACCCGTTTTGGGGTGTTTTGAAAGGACCAAATGAGCAACTGCCATTTTAAGGGTCCCAAAGAAAAGACACGCCGCTCCGCCCCATTCAACATTGGTCAGGTTGCCAACCTGCGGGTCTCGTCACAGCGATGCCGATGCCGGGGCCATTTGCAGCATCCTGAGCGAGGCGTCCCTTGGAGGAAGTCGGTCTTCCGGGACTCGCTCGCGAGTGGGAGGGCAAAAACGCATCTACGGGCATTGTACCAAATACTTCAAGCGAACCACCAGCAAGCCATGTCAATTTGCCGGGCTTTGCATAGCTCAAACATCATCTGAAGCTGAACTGACGCAAAGAAGTGCCTTGAAGACCAGCCCACGTCCCCACTTCATGTCGGGGTGCCACAACACGGCTTGGACCTCTGTTGCATGGTCCTCCGCGCGAAACCCGCGCGAAACCCACCAAAAAAAGTCTATCAATTCATTTGGGCCCAATTCCATTTCCTAACACTACAGATCTTCGGGTTTGCAACCTCACGTTCAAACCATACCCTTTGGACAAACCACCCCCATCGAGTGGCGCGTGAAGCTCAGGACAGTGGATGGCTGGAGCGACGTGCTCCAATCCCATGAGCCGCCAGGCGCAGAAGGAGCCCAGCACAGGGAACGGCAAAAGCGCCCCTGCGCCGCACGTTTTCGCTTCTTCGGCAACGCGAGGCAAGCCAAGGAAGCCGTATGCTTGAAAAGCGCCACTGAACCACTGGGATCTGTGCGGCTCCAGGCACAAAAGCATGTGCCTTTTTGGTTGTTTGGTGGGAGGGTGGGTGTTCCCAATCTAAGAGTTGGCATGGATGCACGAAAACCACCCATTGGAGGAATCTCCTTTTGGCGATCCATGCATTGGGGGTCCATGTTCATTGCGCAAAACACTTTCCATCGGAACAAAGGCAAACAGAAATGAGCGACCGTCCAGCCAGCATGCATACTCGTGCACAATTTACATTGAACAAACACGTTGGATCCCAAGGATATGTTCTACGCATGGGTCGGGGGAAGGAAGAACCTGCATCCTGAACAACAAAATACGGCTTTGATCCGAGTTCCCAGAAAATTGGGATGGCCAATTGGAACACTGGGCTGGACACGTTCTTACAACTTCCTATTTGACTTCGTTGTTCCCCTTGCTTTCGCAGATCAAGGGAATTGACCTGGGGGAAAACACCAATCCTTTCCAAACAAACCCCGAGATTGCCCGCGGGGAGCATGTTCTCAACTGAAAATTTGGAATCTGGCCCCACGTGAGCGACAAAGGGGGGCTTTCCTATCTTACGTTGCGACCCAGGTATCTGGACCCATATGAGCTACAAAGGGGGGTTTTCGCAATCTTAAGGGGTTTTCCCTATGATTGACTGTGCAGGCGCTGCGACCCAATGCTCAATGCTCTACCTCCCCACCTGCCCGCTCCTTTGAGAGCATCAGCAGCACCTTAGCCAGAAGTGCCTAGCCCAAGATGTGTAACAAGACCGGTGGCCATGGAACAAAAGAGCACTTTCTTGGGTGGTTGCTTTTGAATCGAAACCATCTCCAAACAAATCGCACGTCGCATAGATCTGGGCGTGTCAGCTCAACCTCCCAGCTCGTGCTACATCGTCCTTTTCTCGGTTGCTTTCTGCTCCCCTGCTAAAAGTTTAACTTTTAGTGGCTGAATGGAAAACCCACGAGTTGGCAAAAAGTTACAGTCCTGACATTCAAGCAAAATGCACCAACGTTCTCTTCAATGAATACTATCTTGGTTTTGGAAAGAGCTCACTTGCTGTCAGAACACAGACCCCGAAGGAGCATGACAACAAGAACCTTGCGGCCTACTTTGAGGCTTTCGGATTCTTGAACTCGCAAGGGCGACGCGAAAAAAGGATGCCTCCGATTTGTTTTTGTCGGTTAAATGCCAAAAGGAATTCAGTCCAACAAAAACAGTTCCGTCCGCCAGGAATCGCCAAGCGGGCTTGTTGATACCTGGCCAATCCACGTGGAACCCCAAAAAGGTGCGGAACTGTTGCTCGTGGTTGACGTTTCCCAGGCTCCGGTTGCTCCTCATGCAGTGTGTCTTTCCGAGCAAAGCCAACGGTTCCGAATCTCCCAGTCAAAATTCGTCACTGGCAAAAGGGTGTGCGTACGTGTCTTTCTCTCTCTCTCTCTCTCTCTCTCTCTGTGCGCGCGCGTGTGCCTGCGCTCCCGATTTGCAACATACAACAATAAGGGACTTTTACAAGAGGATGTTGACAATTGCTCCGCCGCTCGTGAGCTTCAAGTACGCCAGGATACGGTGACTCCGTGCAGTTCAAGGCACGCCAGCCATGAAGCCCCCGATATGGCCGTACATGTCAGCATTCGGGGATATGTTGATTGCACAAAGAATAAACAGCCTCGGTCCAGCAGAATGAACACCCTGCGCACAACACACACACACACATAGCGGAGATGCGGAGGTTGGGGGATGCCCAAACAAAGCGGGACAGCGGGGAAAGGTACTGAGAGGAAACAAACACATCCCGAGTCGATCAACCCCCCATTCCCGCTAGTTGGTTCTTCTTGCTGCAGGGAAACTGCAAGGAACCAGCCACCTGTGCCATCGCATACCAGGAGGTCAATGATGATAGCAACCCTCATTCTGCGGTGGCCACTCCCACACATGGTTCATCACTTAAATCCATTGCCGTGACATCACAAAAGTGGCAACCTAAGCCCATCGGCCCCACAATGAGCTGTGCAGGTTCCCCAGAACAGGGCCTCTTGTGGGCAACAAACCCTTTGTGTCACTGTCTGCCCTTACTGTTTTTTTTTCTCCCCCAGATATCTCTAAAGGCTATATGGGGTTCTAACCTCTAATAAAGACAGGATAGTGATCTGCGAGATTGACGGCTGGGTGCTAAGGGGGCATGCAGTTTGGGGTGCTGGTGCGGGTGCTGTTTTGGGATGCTGTTTGGGCTGATGTTTGGGGCGCTCTTCGGGGGGTGCTGTTGGAGGTACTGGTGTGCAATCGTTGACATGTTTTTTATCGCTCTCTGGGGTTTATGCTGGTGTAGCTCTTTTTGTAAGAAGCAATCTTAAATTGGATGGTTTGGGTCACGCCAAAAAAGGAGGTCCTGATGTGGATTTGTGTGTCCGTTCTCTTTTTGGCCAACTTGTTTTGCCTGGATGTTGTTTTTGTCCGGCAAAACACCAAACAGTGGGAGGATGGCGTTACAGTCCAAGCCGAGGAAGCCAAACATAGTTCAGGGTACCGGAAAAACAGGAAAAGCAACACGTGCGGCAATATGAAAATGCAGCAACCTGAATGTGCTCGAGAGACCGGCAACAGTGTGTCTGGAGACAGGACACCAACTTGTGCTGGAATATGGACTGCTTTTTGCATGATGCTCAAGGGAACCACACACACACACCACACACACACACAAACACACTTTACGCATTTTGCGGTGGCCTCAAAATTACCCTCTAGGTGGTTTAAATAAGGGCACCACCCCCCCTCCCAAGTATGCTTGAGAAGCCCGCAAACTACATCTGACAGGACCCCTTGACAGCAAGACAAAACTCCATGTCTCGAGTGCCAGGCAGCGCAGTGATGAGCGTGGCCTGCGAGCCAGCGTGCCCGGGGTCTCTGAGGGCTTGAGCCACCACCGCGCCCAAAATCCCCATGCCGCCTCAGATCGCGCAGTGCGACCCCACAAACCGCCATACGCCCAACCCCCCAAAATGACCGGCGCAAAGAAAAGCGATCCAAG